AAGTCGACGAGCTGAAACGCAATCCAGGGTGCTCTACTCTTGCATTTTGCTTTTCTCGTAGGTTGGCATGGAAGGACCTGACTCTGAGCAGGTATGTGGGATTGCAAGAAGCAGAGGACGATGCTAGAAATGACGTGGTAGTCCGCAGAAAGGGGGATGAGAATATGGGGAGGTATAGCACGGGTCGCAAGGACCTGCTCTACACTTCGCTTTAGTATTCGTCGTGGCATACCAGTGGTTTATACGACGACAAAGACAGTAGAAATATCAGAGAGTATGTCTATCCAGGTTTGGAGAGATGCTGATAAACAGCACAGGGGATGGAGAGTGGGCTTAGACCAGAGAAAGGGGTATTGATATTAAATAAACACACCAAGACCACGATGAACGTTGTCGATGTTGATGTTGTGAACACTCTGAAAATCGATAGATAATTTATTTGATTGGAAAAGTGGCTTGAAGGGCGAGACTCTCGGTTGGGAGGTGGACCCTGAGTTTCGACAGTTCTGTTAGACTCTTGGTACTGTCGTCACTCATTCTACTGTGCCAACTGACCATTCCAGCGCGGACATGTCACTTTGTCAGAATGCATCTACTCTGCAGATCTTGTGCAATATAGCACTACTTGGACCTTTTTGGGCTTACTGCTGTCCATTCGCTTCCACTATCGTATACATCTAACTCCTCTCACATGAATCGGCTCCGACGCAGCGACACTACAAGCGAATCGTTATCGAGCTCGGTTACAAGCTAGACGGTATACAGAACGGAGCCGCAATGTCTGGACAAACCGTAGATCCTGACACCTAAATGGGTGTTCAGCCATCCGTCTACGGGCTCAAAGCGGCGTACGTAAGCATATGACCATTCCTCGGAGCGTACTATATTGTGGACTGTGGAGCTGACAAATCCTCTTGGTAAGCTAGACGCCGCTCCGTGACGCCCTCGCGCGCTCGAATCGGTTGGAATACCGGTTAACTGACCACCCAAATGTGACCTTGTTCTTATATTAGCCTCAAAAAAGTTGCTAGAGAGTCAGGGGGCACGGGAACTCTTCACCACATTTGAATAGGATTTTACGCCCAAATACTCCTTTTCCACTCAAAGAGAGAACAAAGGGAGCATACCTCGACTTGATTAGGTGTAGTTCGAGCGCACGAGTCTGAGGGCCACCTGTGTTTACTGGTTCTTTAAACCTAGTGATTTGAAATTAAACAGAGTGGGATTCCAATGCCAGAGGAAACAGATTAACACTTGTAAAGGGTGGAAGGTGTGGAGGAATTCGATGGCACTCAGACGGCGCTCATCCCCGAACCGAAGAAGGGGGATTACCTCGCTTACTTGGACTCTGTGGCGCCATGGATGAGACAATAATAACAGGTGTGAGCGCCTGGATGCCTAAATTTTCGACGAGCCAAGGAACGTTTCGATCAACGCGCGAAGGAGTCGCTATTCAAAGGGCTCGAGTGCGGGAGACTGTATTCCGGAAGCAAATTAGTAGCGGTTGAGATTGAGGAAAGTGACATTCGATGTAGCGTACCTGTGATGTCCAGTCTAGTAGGATACTGAGGGTAGGTCAAAGTCACGTGCTGCTAACTGCTTGTCGACGAGCTCGCCACGTTGGATATTGCGATGATAAAATTGAATGGTATATCACTCTCTGTTTACGGTAAAAAAGACTTATGAGGACGTTCATAAAGCCCGTACACGAAAAAACAGGCTCACAGTTTGGTTTGGACTATTTCTTCATCGAAAATTAGTGCATCATAGTGACTTAATTAAACCACAAGAGGTAGTGCTTTCCCCACGGTCCAAAACGAGTACGACACTATTCAGTACACAAGCGAGGTGTCGGAGAGACGAAGAGTGTCAATTGCAGAATGAAAGACCTCGAGCTTTGGTCTTCAATAGTCTGACACATCGAACCTTCGCCTATTGCGTCAAAAGCAAACGCTTCCGTCTTTTCCTCGTCTGAACTTTTTGAGGCTAATATAAGAACAAGGTCACATTTGGGTGGTCAGTTAACCGGTATTCCAAC